ACAAACTCAGTCGCAAAAGGAGGTCTGATCACGTGTAAACTTACAGTTTCTATGATGTGGGTAGCAGTAAATTACAAATTCGTATATTAGGAGCAACCAAATTGAAACGATAGTGCTAAATATGTGCCCTTAACCTTCTTAGATCTTTGATTTTCTTTAGCACACATTCTCGCTGTGTAAACTGATACTTAATGGCAGAAAACAAGTCTTAAACGAAAAATAGAATAAATACTGAGCTTTAACCTAACATAACCTACAATACTGCTTATGCCTAATCTGTTAATCGTGCCTAAGTAATTTTTATCACACGAAGGTTTGAACTCGTAACTGAAAATTTTAAAGGTAAACCGAAAGAATCAGAGTCGCTGTGACTCAAAATTCAAAAGCCGGTCTCGCCTAATTCGCTGAAAATTTCTGAGCCGTTGCTATGACCCTTCACACCAGTGCATCACAATTTTTATAAAAATGGAAAAGTTGTATTAAAGAATAACTATCCTAAACAACTTCATAATGTCCCTATATACACTTTGAATAAAGTGCTGAACGTGTAATAGTGAACGGCACGATAAACAAAGCCTTGTTAATTTTACATAAACTTTGTTTATTCCATGTCTGACGTTTTATGAAATGTATATAAACTTTGTTCCTTCCATGTCTGACGTTTTATGAAATGTATCTCACATATATCCTGATACGGATTCATGTACCTCATGTACCCCGTGAGGTATATGAATCCTTTTTCAGAACAGCTGTTCTATAAAATAATATTGTAAAATTTTTAATTAACAGAGCATTTTTATGGCAGTACTGTGTGCCGCTTTATAAATTAAAATCTTACTAATTTACAGCATGCATAATTACAAGACTTTTCACCAATATTATCAGTAGCCGAAGTCTGTGTAAGGTCTAACCCAACCTAAATATTTCATTAGCCAGGTGCGTCGTTGCTGCAAATTATATAAGGGGATCTTTGTTAAAAAAAAATTATGTCCTTTGAGGACACTTTCTCGACAACAAAAAGTGCCCACACTGACTTCATGAACGAGTGCCTAATTTTGTTGTCAATTATTTTTTTTATTGATTTTTATTCTTCGTATTTATCTTATTTTGCTGACTCCGTCATTAGCTCCTGCAGCTCTTGTGTTTTAATTCGTTAAAATAAAGAACAGAATTAAATTCAATTATTATTATTATTCTTACTCATCTTCATACAAGTAATTTCTTCATAAAGATTTTACAATTTTTTCCATTTAAATTAGTTCTTAAAATTTCAAATTCTAAATTAATAAAATTTGTATTTTATAACTCCACGCATAAGAAGTGCAGACTTTGGACAGCCCTCTTTATTCACTCAGTAACAATAACTTTGAATACGACCGTGCAATAACTCATATCTCGTAACTGCTACTATGTTTAATACATTCCTCTATGCTCTGGTTCATTTTAATCCCAGAAAAGAATAAATAATGGTATGAAATTTCTAGAAAACGTAACCCGTATTTCAATATATTTTTATTTCCTCTCTATTATGTTACCTGTTGAAATAATTTCGCTCATTTATCCGTATCCGCACGACACATTAGGATTTATAAACCACAGAATTATTCCCACAGTATCCAAACGAATTTCGATGCCCATAAAATATCCGCAGAATAAATCGGCAAAAATAGAAAACTATGCATCCACTTAGCAAACATCTGTTATATTCAGGGAACAACAATATTCAAGAAAAATACGGTATACACTATTATGAAATCCGTCGATAAAATTGCGTCTCGTCTTGAATCGGTGAAGGATCAACAATTCAAGACACAAAAGGCTGGCATATAAAGATCCTCCGTACATACGGGAAGGCGTACATCGGACAGACAGGCCATCTTCCTACCCAAGAATTTCTGAATGCACCAGGGATATCAGACAGTTGCGACAAGGGTCAGCGTTAGCCGAGAATACAAAATCCTCTGTCTGAACGGCCCGCTACCGAGAAGCAAACACAGGACCTCGGAAATGATCAACAGGATGGCTAACGGCTCAACTGGTACATCTAGACAAAAGACGGTTGTCTTCTGGCATCATCAGGGCGATAATCGCCCTGATGATGGAGGCAGTATGACTTCAGAAACGTTGGTAAACGTCGACCAGACTACACAGCGCAACAACCCAGAAGGCAGAAATCTTCATACTCATCGCCCTGATGATGGAGGCAGTATGACTTCAGAAACGTTGGTAAACGTCGACCAGACTACACAGCGCAACAACCCAGAAGGCAGAAATCTTCATACTCATCGCCCTGATGATGGAGGCAGTATGACTTCAGAAACGTTGGTAAACGTCGACCAGACTACACAGCGCAACAACCCAGAAGGCAGAAATCTTCATACTCATCGCCCTGATGATGGAGGCAGTATGACTTCAGAAACGTTGGTAAACGTCGACCAGACTACACAGCGCAACAACCCAGAAGACAGAAATCTTCAGATAAATAATTCTCCATAAATATAGAAGCTTAATTCAACGAGCGAAACAAATGCAGAAAGTTGTCTTCTGGAATTTAGGCAACCAAAAGTAGGAAACGGGGTTGGCAATGTAAGCTGCTGTAAGATTCATGATGTCAAAATGTCAAAAACATTGATCATTAGTTTCTGGGATTCTACCGCGACTCCTACACAGACTTGCTGAGAGCGTCGGCCGGCTCACAGAAGGAACAGAATGGAAACTATTGTTCGTAGCCATGGTGACGCTGCAAGAACAAGCCCCTGCAGCGCGCACAGAAAAGGGAACAGCTCACTTCGTGGCACAGGGTCTTTCTTAAGCACCTGT